TCAGGAGAGGAGGTGATGTCAGGAGAGGTGGTGTCATCAGGTTTGGAGGTGGTCTCAGTAGAGCTGGTGGTCTCAGTAGAGGTGGTGACATCAGGGGAGGTGATGGTCTCAGGAGAGGAGGTGACTTCATGAGAGGTGATGGTCTCAGGAGAGGAGGTGATGTCAGGAGAGGTGGTGTCATCAGGTTTGGAGGTGGTCTCAGTAGAGGTGGTGACGTCAGGAGAGGTGATGGTCTCAGGAGAGGAGGTGACTTCAGTAGAGGTGATGGTCCCAGTAGAGGTGGTGACCTTAAGTGAGGTTCTGACATCAGTAGATGTGCTGTCCTTAGGGTTCATGGGCAAATCAGAGTGGAAGGTGTTTTCCGGATTGTTCGACGTCTCAGATATGATTTTGGCATTAGGAGAAATGTCAGATGTCTGTCGTTTTTTTCGAATTGTTTTCTCTGTAATGTGAATTTGAGATTTATAATACAATGTTATTTTACACAGTATCAGATGTGGAATTATTTTATCCTTATGTTCGTATTTTTCTATTTTTTGTTTGTCCCTTTTTCCTTCAATGGCCACTTCAATATATGTAATACTTTTGTTGTAATACATTTGCATAGAAAGTTGTTGTGTCATTGTGTCTTTTTTGAGCTTTATGTTCTTTATCTATTTTATTTTTGTTGTTTCTTTAATATCCCACTTTTTTCTTGTCATTTCACTGTTATCATATGATTCTCTCATGTCTATGTGGTTTTGTTTTTCAGTCTCTAATTGTTTTACTCAGCTGTCACAGTCACCATCACTGAACTTCTCTTTTTGTAAAAGTGAGGCCTTCTTTCTGTTATTGTCACGTCCTTATGTTTAATATGTGAATTCTTATTTTCCACAACATTGTGGTTTTTTCCCTCTGCATGTTCACCTGATATTTTGTGGTGGTGTTGTTTTATATGCCTGACCTTTTTCTTGAAATTTGAGGACCCCTTGGCAGAGGTTGCCCTGTCTTTTTCTCTCGGGTCCCATTGATTAATCTTTGGTTGTTTTCCTGGCTGCAAACCCTCCATCTTCTCCCCTCTCACCCTATCCAAGTTCGACTTGGTCCCTTCCACCCTCCATGGCTGTTTCTCTTCCATTGCCTCCTCTGTCCTTTCTACATGCCCCCAGCATTCACAGTTCGTAAGCTGAGATCTCGTTTGATCCCGTCTCGGTTGTTCCCTGTTTTGCAGCATGGGACTCCTTCCCCGTGTCTATGCATTGGCCTTGCCACTTCTGTGTCCTGGTTCATTTTTTGTCAATTTGTTACATTAGAATTGTTTGGGAGAAGGAACTTTGATAGGGAAAATGCCTCTATCAGGTTGTATGTGGTGGGCAAGTGTGTGGCCCTTTCTTCCCTCTTTACCCTTTCTTCTTTTTTTCCTTTTTTTTTTTTTTAAATTGAGGCAGGGTCTTACTAAGTAACTCTGGTTGGACTGGAACTCACAGAAATCCACCTGCTTTGGTCTTCCAAGTGTTGTGATTAAAGAAAATGTTCCTTAGGAGTGTGATCGTGGTTGGCATCAGGAATCTGATGGAGCCGCTCTCCTCCAGACCCCCTGCTTCCCTATTGCTGCTGCGGCTTCCCCAGGTGATGATGTTAGAATGAGGGTCCCACCCCCGTGTTTGGGAAGGATCCAGAGCTGTGGCCTTGTTGGCAGAGGTGTGTCACTGGGGGTGGGCTCTGAGGTTTCCAAAGACACACACCCATCCCAGAGAGTGTCTCAGTCGTGTGGCTATGTCTCAGGATGTGACCTCTCAACCACTGCCCCAGCGCCATGTCTGCCTGCCTCTGCCATGCCCCCTGTGATGACAGGCGTGGATTCTAACCATCTGGCCCCAAGAGCTACATATTAAATCCTTTCTTTATAAGTAAGTCAGACAGATGACTGGAAGTGTAAGCCTAATAAATCTCGTCCTCCCCACGTTGCTGTTGGCTGTGGTGTTTATCACAGCCGCAGAAAGGAAGCTAATATACCTGCGCGGCCGGCCAGCACGCTCTGGCGCGGAGTCGCCCGGCTGTCTCCCTGCGGGCTGCATCCTCCTCCGTCCCACACACCTCTGGTTCCGGCAATGTCTGAAAGAGAGGCAGGGCTGTTGCTCTCCCTGAGCCACCGACCGCCTTTCTTTTCTGAGTCCTCCCTGCTTCACTGCCTCTGAGCTCTTACTTCCTGCTCCATAAAATGTCAACCCCTGGGACCAGTGAGTCAGGAATTAACCACGGAGCTTGTTCACCACCGAAGCCCACCTAGAACAAAGTCTTAATTTATGGGCCACCCAAAATTGACTGCGTGGTTCTAAACAAGCTACGACTAAATCGCGACTCAAAACCCAAACTGTAAGAACCCTGAAATATTTGTGGCGACTCACTCCTGTGCTGAAGCCTGGGCTGTGAACGCAGACCTCTCTGTGCTGGACAAACCTGCCCGCGACCCCTCAGCCCCGATTCACTGCTGGTCTATCTTATACATTGTAGCATTTTTACTCTGTGTTCGCAGTTTTATGTGCTTGGCACTCGGAGAGCTGTCTCGGGCGGTAAAAGTGCCGGCCCACAAGCATGAGGGCTTGAGTTTAAATCTCCAGCAGCAACAGGAGGAACTGAGGACAGCGGGGTGTTCCTGTCACCACAGCCCAGATCCCTGGGGCTTGCTTGTCAGCCGACCCAGCCAAATCGGCGAGTTCCAGGCTCAGCAAGAGACTGTCTCAAAACTAAGGTGGAAGCCAGGCATGGTGGTTTATACCTTTAATTGTAGCAGAGGCAGGGGATTAAACAGAGGTGGATCTGAGTTCAAAGCCCAGTAAAAAGCTGAGAGAGAGAGAAGAGAGAGAGAGCAACCAAGAAAGAAACCCAGCACCTTTTCACTTACATGTGCGCATACATGGGTACACATAATCATACTCACAAACACATACAGAAAAAATGCTTTGCATTCTTGGGGAAAATAATGGCTCTTATTTATGGAATGCAAAGATTTAATATTTCTCTACTAAACTAGTATCAAGTTAGCATATTTTTAAATTGTATCAGACAAACAAGCACACCCATCTCTTTGGTATATAAATTTGCTTTCACTTTCAGTAAACGGTAAAGCTATCTATCCATACAGATAATTGTTTTAAAGTCAATTTCTTTATGATTTGCTATGAGTTAATGTTTGATCTGTAGATCTATTTTATATGCCTGTGTATCCTGGGCTCTCTAAGAAAATTAAAGAGCAACAACAAAATAAAGCTTATGCAAATATAATTCAAGGAGACGGGCCAGGTTCCACCCCAAGCAGGCAGCGGAATTTCACGGCTTTAGCCGTGATGTTTAGAGTCATGAAGGATGCCAGAGTAAAGTGGATGGGACTCTTCCTCTGAGGTCAAGGGAAGCTGCTGAGATCTGGTGTGTGGAGAGGCCAGTGTGTGAAGCTGTGAGGATGAAGCTTGCACCGAGTTGGAGACCCCACTGTGTTGGAGGTGTCAGAGCTGTGGGAAGTTCGCCAAGGAGAGCTGCAGACAGGGCTTGGAACCAGCCAAAGAGCACGGTAACAGAAAAAGTACTGAGACACCCCCAGATGCACAGAGAACTGCAAAAGATAGGAAAATAATTTTTCATGTGTGTGCACGTGCATGTGTGTGTGTGTAAGCGCACATATGTGTGCAGTGCACATGCACATGGAGGCCAGAGGTTACAGTGTCATCTTGCAGGAGCCACTCACTTTATTTGTTGAGACAGGGTCTCCTGAACCTCGCTGTTTGGCTAGGCTGATTGATCAGGAAGCCCTGGGACCCTGCCTGTCTCTGCATCCTCGGGTGGGGGTTACAGAGGCTCACAGCCACACAGCTTTTCCATGGGTGCTGGCATTGAACTCAGCTTCTCATGTTTATGTCGCAAGCACTTTACACGGCTCTGCTCGCTTCCCCTCCCCTGAAAGTGATGTTTCAGTATACTGGGTACCAGACGGGAAAGGACAACAGTTCCTGGGAGATGTAGAGAGGATTTTCTGGAAGCAATGAGGAGAGGTGAATACAGGTGGAGGCATGGAGTCTCCCTGAGTTGGGGAGATGCTGTGCTGTAGCCCCGGGAGACAGTGGCCCCTAGAGTTTGTGATGCAGAGTTTCATGAGCAGAGTGTGCACACTGGCTAGTTTTATGTGAGCTTGACACAGGCTAGAGTCACTGCAAAAGAGGAAGCCTCAGTCAGGGAAACAGCTCTATAACACTGGTTCTCAATCTTCACAATGCTGTGACCCTTTAATACAGTTCCTCAGGTTGTGGTGACCCCAACTACAAAATTACCATTGCTACTTCATAACTGTAATATTACTACTGTTTTGAATCTTGATGTAAATATCTGTGTTTCCTGTAGTCTTAGGTGACCCCTGTGAAAGGGTCTTTTGACCTCCTAAGGGGTCGTGGCTTACAGGTTAAGAACTGCTCTCTACAACATCAGGCTGAAGGCAAGCCTGTAGGGCATCTTCTTAGTTTGTGATTCTTGGGGGACGGCCTGACCCATTGTAGGTGGAGCCATCCCTAGGCTAGTGGTCCTGAGCTCCATAAGAAATGAGCAGTACCCTCCCTGGCCTCTGCATCAGCTCTTTTCTCCAGGTTGCTGCCCTGCTTGAGTTTCTGTCCTGACTTCCTTCCTCAAGGGGCAGCGATCTGGAAGTGTAGGCCAAATAAACCCTTTCCTTCCCAAGTTGCTTTGGTTATGGTGCTTTATCACAGCAAGAGAAATTTTGTGACTAGGACAGAGAGATACATAGTAACCCTGACTAGGACAGACAGATACATTGTAACCCTGACTAGGATAGACAGATACATAGTAACCCCAGCTAGTACAGACAGATACATAGTAACCCCAGCTAGTACAGACAGATACATAGTAACCCCGACTAGGACAGAGCTATGCATAGAGACTGCAGAGGTGAACACTGGCTTCTGTGGTCAGTGCTAGTTAGTGTACAATCTTGAAAAAAGTCCTTGAGGGCAGAGGACGGTGTAGGAAAAGATGAGAAGGAACAGGAGCTCATGCTCGTTGTCACACAGGGAACAGGGCTGCTCCCATGGGCCAGGCTGGAGAAGACTGCAGCCCACAGGCACTGAAGGAAGGACACGTGAGGACTTTGCTTCACTAATAGGAAATGGCAGCAGGGCCTGGTGACTCGGAACTCCAACCCTCAATAAACAAGAGGCTGAGGCAGGAGGATCATAAGTTTGAGGCTAGCCTGGGCAACTTAATGAGACCCTGCCAGAAAATAAAGGGTTGAAGGGTTTGGGGAAGCAGAATGGGAGTAGGGGAGTATGGTTCTCAGCACCTGCTTAGAACCCCCCAGTGAGGGGCTGTGGTGTGGCTCAGGGAAAGAGTGTGCTAAGGCCCCCAGGGTTCAGTCTTCAGCACTGCACAGAAAAGTTATTCGTTATGATAATTCTTTTGGGCAACTTTAAACAGCATAATACATAAATAATTTGAATTCAAGAAAAGTAAGAGAACAAAATATACATAAAAATAATATCCCTCAAATAACAAATACAAAATAATTCTAAATTCACTCACTAAAGAAGTTCAAGCCCCCAACACAAAGCACACAAAGAAAGCATCTACAATGTTCCTATTCCCTCCACAGTGTTTCTCTTATATAACTATTAAAGGGAATTTCATCAGCAACTGTCTTCAGTACATTTCACAGCTTAGATGAAACGAACAGATTCCCCGAAAGACAAACTCAAACAGATTAGGGGCCAGCAAGATGGCTCATCACATAAAAGTGATTGCCTCCAAACCTTACGATCTGAGTTCAGTTCCCTGCATCCCAGCCCTTGGGAGGTGGCGATAAGGGGATCTTAAATTCAAGGTGAACCTTGAGTACACGGTGAGTTTGAGGGCGGGTGAGAGTCCTCAGGTCCGCCAGCTCAGGACTGTGAACTTACTGAGGTCTCTCAGTTCAGAGGACGCTGCTGGACAGGTCAAGGGTAATGGAAAAACACCACGAGAAAGGACAAGGTGGCTCCCAGAACTAATTGTTTTTATTTTATAGCAGAGATGGACCAAAGGTTCAGGCTCACACCAGATTTTTCTAGAACCACCCACTGTGTCCCTGCCTGACACCTACAGGGAAGCTGTGTCAGATACAGGAGTCCAAGGGTTCACATCCAGTCATCCCTGAACCATCCTCAGTAGCCTTGACCCCGCTGACTCCTAAGTAGCGGGAAGTGCACAAGGAAGTGCCAGCTGGTGGGACAAAGGGGACAGGGATGATGGAGGAAGGAGAGTGGGCCAGGCCATGGACAGGCTCGGGAGGAGGGGGTGCAGGAGGACCAACCACGACAGACACCACGCTGTCAGTCTCTACAGGTGGCTTCTCTAGAGATTTCCACATTGACTCTCTCTCTCTCTCTCTCTCTCTCTCTCTCTCTCTCTCTCTCTCTCTCTCTCTCTGTGTGTGTGTGTGTGTGTGTGTGTGTTGTGGAAGCCAGAGGACAAACTTGACCGTCATTTCTCAGGTGCCGTGCCCCCCCTTTTTTATTTTTGAAACAGGGACTCCCACTGGTCTGACATACCAAGTAGGCTAGACTGGCTAGTCAGCGAACCCCTGGGGTCTTCCTGTCTCCTAATTATAAAGGTGCACCACCAAGTTTGACTGTTCTTTTAAAAATGCATGTATTCTTCTAAGATGTTATCTTTCTGTGTATGTGGCCATGACTGCGGCTGTGAGTCCAAGGGTGTCCAGTACCTGGGGAGGCCAGAAGAGGGCAGTGTATCCCCTCGCACCCTGAGTTACAGGTGGTTGTGAGCCTCCCAGTGTGGGTGCTCTTGTCCACTGAGCTCTCTCCAGCCCCCTCCCCGACTTTCCCCGTGGGGCCCTGGAAGCTGACTTTGGTCTCTGTGCTTGCCTTCCCTGACTCAGCTATCTCCCTAGCCTGGCTTTGCTTTGTTTCTTTGTTATGTTTTTGGGTTTTTTTTTTTCTAATGAAGTCACCTTATTATAATGGACTTACAAATAAAAACATCAGAGCCAGTTTAAGGAAGTTACTCAAACATCTGCCAGGTCCAAGGGCTATGAATCTCAGTGAACATCTGTCCTTGTCCGAGTGGCCATTCTGAAGCCTTGGAGCTTTATGCTTTCATGGTCAATTACATTTTTCTGCACCTGTCCAGTGCGCACACACACACACACAGACACACAGACACACAGACACACACACACACTCTATAACAGAGTTGGAACTGGGAAAAACAAACTGTAATGCCCACACTTACAGCTGCTGACACATATGCACATGCCCAGCATGCAATATTACTCAGGTATAAAGAACAAGAGAATCATGGGATTTGCAGGAAACTGGGCAGACTTGGATGGTATAATAATAAGCAAAGTGGTCCAAGCTCAGAAACACGCACACACACATGCATACAGATACACACGCACACGCACAAGCGCGCGCACACACACACATACACACGCACAAGCACATACATGTACACAAGCACACACACGCACACTCTTCATCATCTACAGGTCCTCACCCATAAGGCACAGAGGTAACCATGTAGACAGACACAAGCCCCGCCTTTATCCCCTTTGGTTGGACTGTCTATTTTTGTTTGTTGTCTTACTAGGTAGCCCAGGCTGGCCTCCAATTTGCTGTCCTCCTGCCTCAGACTTCCCAATGGTTACAAACCAGCTAGTTCTGCTTTTAGGGTTGTTGTCTTGGTTTGGTTTTCATGTTTAATTTTGACCAACTGTGGAGAAATAGATTGCTCAAGCTGAGGCTAAAAGAGATCTTTTAGAAGGTAAGAGCTGTAGGAGAGAACGGAGCAGACAAAGAATATGGCTGGGACAAGACATGGACATGAAGGACAGAAACGACTGGGGTCCCTTCTGCCTCTCTCCACCACCAGCTCCCCTACCCGATGTCCGTCCTTCCTTCCTTCCTTCCTTCCTTCCTTCCTTCCTTCCTTCCTTCCTTCCTTCCTCCCTTTCTTTTTCTTTTTTCTTGTCCTTTCTTTATTATTATTATTTTTTGAGACTGGGTTTCTTTGTGTAGTCCTGGCTGTCCTGGAACTCACTCACTACACCAGGCTGACCACAAAAAGAGATCCACCTGCCTCTGCCTGCTGAGTGCTGGGACTGAAGGTATGTGCCACTGTGCCTGCCTCCTCAATGTTATTTCTGGCTAACCACAATTAATTTAATCTTTATTAATCTATTTATGATTTATTTATTTATTTGGGGGTGGTCTCATGTGCTGCCGCATGGGTGAAAGTCAAAGGACAACTTTCAGGAGTTGGTTCCCTCTTCCCACCTTGTGGGACCCAGGGACTGAAGCCAGGTCATCAGGCTTGAACAAGTGCCTCTTCTTGTTGAGCCACCTCACTGGCCCAGCAATTGCTATTGTAAAGAAAGCCCTTGAGCTGGGGCTACAGCTCAACAGTAGAATACTTGCCTAAGTAGCAGGAGGCCCTGACTTGGGACCCCAGCACCACAGGAGAAAGAAAAAAAAGGGAGGGAGGAAGGAAGGAAAGAAAGAAGGAAGAGGGAGGAGGAGACAGGGGAAGAAGAGTCAAGCCCCCCCTACCCCTTCTGTCCAAATCCCCTCATTCTTTTTCTGTTATTTGAATTGAAGCCCAGGCCCCCAGCACCCCAGGAGGCCCCTGTTGCTTTGTTTTGTTTTTCTGTGGCAACCTTATTTGACAGTAGTCTTTGCAAAGTATTGTGTCAAACTGAGGTCATTCACGCGATCCCCAATCCAGCACCACCAGTATCCGTATACATGGGAAGATCTGGACACAACACAGGTGTGTACTTGCGGAGAATATCATGGGGACTAAGAAAGCAGAGGCAGATGAAGGCCCCAAAACACCAGAGATTCGTCAGCAGCCACCAGGGTCTTGGGGACAGACCCCTGCAGAGCCCCTTCTAAGTGCTTGAGGCGGGCCTGTGAGGTGGCTCGGGGGAGAAAGACACTGGTGCCTAACATGACGGCCTACGCTGTATCCCTGGATCCCACATGGTGGAAGGCCAGAGCTGATTGCTCCAAGCTGTGTTCCTCCCACCCCTTCAACACACACAAAGTCAATTAAAACAACAGCAACAACCCTGCTTGACCCCACTAACCAGAAATGTGAGGTGAGAACTCTGCCATCCTAAGCTACCTAGGTGGTGGGTTGTTGCTATGACAACCAGGGAGTGGGACAGTGATGGAAATAAAGGATGAATCGTGTACCTGGGACCAGTGAAAGGCGGTGGGTGAGAAGTCACTTGTGGACAGGAGTCATCATGGGGGTGACTAAGAGGGTAACGGCTAAGGCTAAACAGTCGTGGGCAAGCCCAGAGGACACCGTGTCTCATTCGTACGTCACGTACACAGCTATAGGAGGAAGATAAGAGGGCATCTTCCAGGCAGGGCTTATCTGAGATCATCGAATTATTTCTGTAGCTACACCCTATCCTGTCATAGCCAAGTCCAGTGGCCTTGAAGAGGTATAGTGACCTGGGTCCCCAGGTAAAGAACACAGAAGAACCCAAACACTAATGGACTTTGATTAGGATCCTGGAGATCAAGCCCCAAGGCGGAGGGGGTGTGTAGAATTCAGCAGAGCAGAGAGAATCTGGAAGCTCCATTCTGCAGAGGGGGAAGTCGAGGCTAGAGATGGATGGGTCATAGCATAGTGGGTAGACCAAGGTGGGGTGAGAAGAAAGTGGAGAGAGAGAGAGAGAGAGAGAGAGAGAGAGAGAGAGAGAGAGAGAGAGAGAGAGATGGGGTGGAGAGATGGCAGGGAGCTGGGAAACTCCTGCCCTGCTGGGACCCGACAGGAGCTTAAATGCTACCCCCGTGAGAACGGCCCTCACCTGTGTTGCCCTCTGTCCTCCATGACAAGTTCTCACTAGAGAAGGCCTGGTAGGGGCCATGGCCTAGGGGGCAGTGAGTGAGTTCCAAGGCAAGACAAAGTCTGAAGCAGGCCTTTACGATGAATGCATCTTTTCCCTCTTGACTGTAGGACCCTTTCTATCCCCTTGACCCTCCCAAGGAGCCATAAAGTTGGGAGAGAAAAGAAAGAAGTTGGGATCTGTGTGGTTTGTTTCTGCCTCAGTTTCCCTTCCTTCTCTGGGACCAGACAAAGGGGCAGACTGGACGATCCACTCTCATTTCTTGCTCCTCTGAGCCTGGTTCCCAGGGCCAAGGAGTCCTAAACAACTGAATTAAATGGATCCTTAGAAACCCCAACACCCCCCACCCAGGGGACTGGAGAGATGGCTCCGGGGTGTTCTGTCAGGAATGAGTTCAGATTCCAGCCCACATCTGGGCAGTTCACACACACCTGTAACTCTAGCTCAAGGATTCCAACATTCCCTGTGGTCTCTTGGGGCACCCACATACAGACACACATACACATACATGAAATGAGTTTAAAAATAAGAAAACCAAGCCCAGGACTTCACACACGCTAAACAGACGCTCCACCAGAGCAGCCTGGCCCCCGGCTGGGCCTTCTGTGCGGGCACTCTACTGCTGAGTCACCTAGTCCCTTGCTAGAGAATTCTAGGCAAGTGCAGTTCCCCCTTTTTTGTTTTATTTTAATTTATTTGTGCTTTTTTCCCCCTGAGATAGTAGCCCTGGCTGGCATGGAACTCACTCTGTAGACCAGGCTGGCCTCGAACTCACAGAGATCTGCCTGTGTCTGCCTCCTGAGTGCTGGGATTAAAGGTGTATGCTACCATAATGTCCGGTTTCCCAGTACTTTTTGTTTATTTGATTGATTGATTTGTTTTAGACAGGGTCTCTCTAAGTAACCTTGGCTGGCCTGGAACTCACTATTGTAGACCAGGATGGCCTTAAACTCATAGAGAATCATCTGTCTCTGCCTCCCAAGTCCCAATGCCACCCTATGGGGCTCCCCGTCCCATTTTTACTTCTTGTTCTGAGACAGGCTCTCACTAAGTTGCTGAGGCTGGCCTTGAACTCACTCTGCGGCAGATCTTAAACTTTCAGTCTTTCCCAGGTGATGGGATGGCAGGCTTTCCCCACCTGAATGAACCAACCCTTGTCTTTCCAGAGGAGCAAACAGACCAGAGAGGAGTTGAGCAGATGCCCGACACCATTAGTACACAAGAAAGTTAGACTCTGTGGTTCCTGACATCCCATCTTGCTGTGGTCCTGTAGCTTCCTTGGCTAGTAAGGCAGGAGAGGAAGGGACACACACACACGCACGTGCATGCGCGTGCACACACACACATGTGCACACACACGTGCGCGCATGCCAGGACAGAGATTAGAGAAGGCAGAACAAGACAGCAGTTGTTGTATGTTATGTGAAGGTGACCCTGCCAAGCCTGCCATCCCAGCCTTGGGAGGCTGAGGCAGGAGGATCAGAATGGTTAAGTTTTAGGCCAGCCTGGCCTATAGCACGGCAGGGCTGTCTTTCCACCCTCTCCTCACACACAAAGATGGGAGATAAGAGCACCCGGATAGGCACACCGAGATAAACGCAGGCTCTGTTTAACATGGCTGGGAAGGGAGGATTCTGTTTAATCCCAGTGGCCTCTCAACTGACACCTGTCGCTCCCTGGAGTGGTGGCCGCCCAGAGAGGCAAACTGGCCTTTCCCCAAAGAAAGACAGGAAAGAAGCCTCAAGCCGAGCATCAAGTAGAAGATGTCTCGGTTGCTTTTGATGGAGGAGTTAGCTCTGCCCTGGAGCCTGGCAGCTCAGGGATGTGGGCTTGTGGGAAAGGGGCCCAGGGCAGTGGGGCTGGGGAGCTACTCACCCTCTGCGGAAGCAGTGAACTGAGGCAGGAACTGGAGGATGAGCGCCAGCAGGCAGAGCGCCACTGTCTGCCTTGTCCTCAGCGACATTGCTGGAGGTTCAGCTAGTGTACGGCGAAATGAACACGAGCCAGGGAACCCCAGAAATAAAAACCGCCAGGAGACCTTTGACCTATGAGATACTGAGGGCGGGGGGGGGGGGGTCAGTGTGAATAGGAGTCAACCTGACAGCTTCCCGTATGACGAGGGGGTGGCGGCTGGCTATTCTGGCTGGGCCAAAGAGCAAAGGGAGCGGTTCCCTTTCTCGGCCAGACAAGCACATAGGTGTTCGGGTAGGTAATGAGAGTCATCACCCCAGTGAGGGGTGGTGTTGGGAGTAGTGCTCCTGGCCTCCCCACAGAGACGCACGATAGAGCCCAGATCTGAGCAAGAAAGGGGAATATCCTGGATTTGTCCACCATCCCTCAAGCCGTCCCTCTTTCTGTTCCATAGAACCCCAGCAGGACATGGGGTTCAAGTTATGACACCCTGAGATGATCAGAAATTCACGTGTGTGTGTATGTGTGTGCATAAATATACACATTATATTATATATATTATATATATAATATTATATGTAACATCTTGGCTGCAACTTTCCCTCCCTCCTCTCCTCCTAGTTCCTCCCCCTATGCCTCCTTTGTTCCCACCCCCCTAATCCATTTCCTCTCCATTTCTGTTTAGGAAGGGACAGGTCTCGTGAGTAGCAACACAACATGGCATATAAAGTCGCGGCAAGACTAAGCACCTCCCCATGTATTTGGGCTAGACGAGGTGACCCAGTATGAGGAGTCAGGTCCCAGAAGCCTGTAGAAGAGTCGAGGCAGGCCCTGTTCTCACTGTCAGGAGACCCACAAGAGGACCAAGCTACACAGCTGTCACATGTATGCAGGGGGCCTAGGTCAGTCCTATGCAGGCTCCTGGTTGTCCGGGATCCTCTGTGATCCCCTAGGATCCCAGGTCAGTTGATTCTGTGAGTTTTCTTGTGGTGTCCTTGACCCCTCTGGCTCCTACAATCCTTTCCCCCCTTCTTCTGTAGGATCCCCAAACTCCACCTAATGTTTGGCTGTGGGTTTGCTTCTGTTTCCATGAGCTGGTGGACAGTTGGGCTAGGTATCAATCCGGCCAGACGATGGCCAGTGCAGGCTACCTATCCATCTTTGCTAGGAGTCTTAACTGGGGCCATCCTTGTAGATTCCTGGGAGTTTAAATTCCTTGTGCCAGGTTTTTACCTGATCCTGAAAAGCCCCCACTTCCGGTGGTCTCTTTCAGTTCTCCCCGCTCTGTCGATCAGGAATTCTTAAGCCTGTGAATTAAGAGCAAGGCCCCCTCGCCATCCTCATGGCCACCTGGAGTGACCTTGTCCACCCTCGGGGTCATGGAACCAAGCACTCAGTCCTCAGCCTTCTGGAGGTTTCCACCGCTTTGCTCTGGGGCCTGAGGCATTCTGTGCCCAAGGCCTGGCCCTGGGTTTGTCCGTCCTCAGTGACCTCTGGCAGAGATGGGCCTAGCCCTGCCCCAGTTGGAAGAGGCAAGTGGTTCAGACACTGGGAATGTTTAATCCTGGGAAGATTGTTCCACCCAGAGAGGGGCACAAGACATGTCCCCCCATTACTTCCAGATGCAATCCACTACCCTAGGCTGCCCCCCCCCCCCAAACACATCAGGAAGAGAAGAAAACAGAAAACTCTGCATTGAAGAACTGCTTTATTGATGGGGGAATTCCAGAGCGGGGTGGAACCCACACACAGACAAAGATGCCAAAGTGTTTAGAAGCCTTGGGTTCCTCAAATGTGGAGGTGAGGAGGAGGTGGTACCCGGCTCCCGGGCCTCGACTCTTTGCTCCTTTGGTTAGTCTTCTGGCAGTGACCACGGACGAACTCCGGCCACCTCAGATCAGGCACGCAGAGCTTTGGGATCTGGTGTCAGTTTCGCCTTAGCCAACCAGGAAAACCTGTGGTGGGGACTCCGGCCCTCTCTCATCTGAATCTGGATGGGGCAGGATGGGGTAGCCTAGACGATTCTGTTCTCACGGAGCTGCTGATTTCACCACCTCGGGCCTCTGAAAGTTGAGCTGGGGAAGAGAGAGACAGATGAAGCGGAGCAGAGGTTGGGGAGAACGACGGGGGAGGGGGGCAGGGAAAATCCAGGAGTAAGAGAGTGAGACGCCCCAAAGGAAGGAAGCTCTTAGCTGTGTTACCTCAGTGTTGGGGTCCACACACTGCAGGTTTGGCTGGAAGTGGCTGTGCCCTTGCTCCATGCCTAATTGGTCCTCTTTCAGATTCTGGCCTGTAGGGAAAGGGGTGGTGTGAGACAGGGGGCCCCTCAGAGGAGGTGGGAGCAGCCATGGGCAGGTGGGATGAGTGTGGGTGGGGGGCGGGGGGTTCCAAAAAAATGAAGATAAGTACTTCGACTTTTCCAATCCTCGTTGGAGTCTTAGTGAACTTGGCTTGAGCCTGGAAGCTGGTCTGGAGCCATGCAGGGAGGCCAGGCAGAGAGAGCGGCCTCCCTACTCACCTAGTACTGTGTACCATGGGTCACAAGTCATACCCGTAAGAAGTCACTGTCATTGGTACGAGGTTGGGAGTGGAGCTCTTAGCAGCCTCTTGAGTCACATACTACACCCCTCACCTGCCTGGTCCTTAGCAACTATGTAAACACAGCAGACAACCCAGGTTTTCAAGAAATCATCCCGTGGCTGTTGTACACCAGCAACCTCCACTTCTTCCTGACTTCCTGGAGTCCAGCCCAGGGCCTGGCTTTTCTCCTTGGCATCTTAGCCATTCCTCAGCGGGCATCTTAGACTGCCTCCTGTAACGCCTACACATCTAGATGATCCTAGGAGCCTCGTCCCCTCTCCCTCTTTAATCTCCAGCCCTCCCTTTGCCCACTCCCGGTGCTGTCTTCAGGTCGGAGAGCCCTCCCTTCAGCACTCCACTGGGTCCAGGGAGTCAGTGTGTCCCACAGGCTTCTCTCATAGATGCCCGACTCAGCGGCCCCCATATTTCCTTTGCCAGCCTGCCAGCAAGACCAGCCCTGCTCCAACCTGCCTCTTCTGGTGCCCCCTCAGACTCACATGAGTGACCCACTTAAAACTCATCTGTGGATTGGTGATATATATACCTGTCCACTTAGCGGCTTGGGAGGCTCGGCGAGAAGGCTGGTAGGTTCAAAGCTAGCCTGGGCTACAGAGCGAGACACTGTTCTAGATAAACAAGCACACAACATCATATACCCAGCTCTTTAATCAACGCCTTCTGAAGCCCTCTTTTCTTTTCTTTCTTTCTTTCTTTCTTTCTTTCTTTCTTTCTTTTCTTCTTCTTTTTTTTTTTTGGGTGGGGGAGGAGAAGACACGTAAGCCACCTAGCCTCAAACTTGCTATGGAACAGAAGATGACCCTGAACTTGACTCTCCTATGTCCACCTCCTTAGTGCTGGGATTACAGGAGTGTGGCCCCCTGAGATTTTCTTTTTAAAGATTTATTTATTTAATATACATTGGGGTTTTGCCTGCATACGTGTCTATGTGAGGGTGTCAGATCTCCTAGAACTGGAGTTACAGGACAGTTGTGAGCAGCCATGCGGGTGCTGGGAATCGAACCCGGGTCCTTAGGAAGAGCAGCCGGTGCTCTTCACCTCTGGGCCGTCTCTTCCATACATTTTTATAAGTAGTGCTTCTAACCTAAGAAGGGTCTGACTGGCGACTTGGGGATTGTTTGTAGGACCGGGAAGCTAGTCTCTGAGTCACTTGCTTGAAGACTCAGGCTTACGTGAGAAGCCTTCGATGGACCCGAAGTCCAGGCTGGGCCATACCTGGCCGGGTGCTCTGGTCATCTGTGCTCTGCCGTGTCCTGGCACTCCAGAGAGTGGCTGCGTGGCTGCCACCCTTGTCTCGTGAGGCGGGAGACGACTCTGAGCCTACCCTGAATCACTGGGAAAAAGGTAGCATACAAGGGGTCATAAAACCCCTAGGAAGTGGACACCGTGGGTGTGGAGGTGCACACCTGTAATCCCAGCACCTGGGAGGCTAAATTAGGAGGAGTCTTAGGTTCAAGGCCAACCTATACTACACTGCAGTGTGTTTGAGATCACCCTGGGCTACACAGGCACAGCAAAGAACTATGTAGGGAAGATGACTCAGCTGGTAAAATGTTCGCCTCATAAATACTTAGGGCCTGAGTTGGGTCCTCGGGATCCATATGGAAAGTTCAGCGCAGTAATACACGCTTATGACCCCAGCACTGTGGAAACACACTGGCGGATCCCTGTGATTCTTCGGTCAGCCTGACCCAATCCATGAACCCCAGGGTTCTGAAAAAGACCTTGTCATCCAAAACTGCTTGTGCAGCTCCTGAGGATGGACACCTGAGACTGACCTCTGCAGGCATGTGTGTAGGAGCGTGTGTATGTGCCTGTATGTGCACGCGCACACACACACACAAACTGGGAAGGTGCTTAGAGGAACTGGGCAGAGGCGGCGTGCTGATAGAAGTTACCAGGCAAGGCATGGACAAGAGACTCGGGCAGACACAGCACCAGGGAGAGGAGATTAGGACAAAGTGGGGGTGCAGGGGGGACCCTGGAGAGGGAAGGGGTCATAAATAGGTTATGGCAACAGTAGGTTTGAGGCTGGTATAGGTGGTGGGGAATGGAGCCTTTCAGACAGTGGTGTGATGTGTACAGAAACAGAGAGGGGAGAGGATGCTCAGTGGAGGCCCTGGGAATTTGATGCGGGGAGGGGGGGGAGAAGCCGGAAAAGGTCCAGAGGTCAGGCTAGTGAGATGTGTAAGGTGACCAGAGTCCCATAAAGGGCCCACATGATGGAATGAAAAAACCGACTCCTGGAAATTGTCCCCTGACCTCTGCCCACATACCATTGCATGCAATGTGCCCACTAAACAAATGTAGTTTAAAAAAAAAATACAGGAGGTCAGTGAGAGGCCTGGATGCTAGGGAAGGACAAGGGGACGAAGGACCGCAGAAGAGCAAGGGGTGGGCGCACTGATGCAGGGGCAGATGTGACGTGAGCTGTCATCAGGGCACAGCAGGCAGGACTTGTGTTGTGCCCCTCCCCCTCCCCACAGAACCATTACCTTCCCAGATGCCAGAGCTCCGGAAGATTCCAGGGAAAGCTTCTCTCTGCCATGCCTGAGACAGGTCGTATTTTGACCTGCAAACAGTCATGCCACAAGTGAGGTGGCCGCGTGTGACAGGAGTCGGAGGGGACTCGGCAGACCCTGACCCGGAGGGTGGGCAGTCACATCTCTACCCTTCAAAGTAGCGGCCATGAGGAGGGGCAACTGGCTCACTCTGGTTTCGCCAGCTCCACGGGCAGTGGCCAGGCTCCCTAGACATCCTGCAGTTCCCTGATGGGCCCCAGTCTCCGGGTATGAAGTGTCGGGAGGGGGGGTTGCAACAGTCTCTTCTGCCCATTTCTAGCCCGGATGTTCTAGTGACTATTTCTTGGTAATTCTTGGAATGGGCATCTCGCCCTATCTGGCTCAGACCCAGCTTCCCTGATACTCTCTAAGGAAGTCTAGATAATAAAACATAATTTTATTGCATAAACTATTTTCAGCGCTTAAGTTTCTGTTTCCACTTCTCACTCAAAGAGACGATCAGATAGAAAAGCCACCCTTGGTGATGCCAGCGATGGGCGGGGCTAGCCGCCCTGCTTGGCCTCAGCCTAAGTCTTCACAGCCAGAACTGTAGAGCATTAAGGCAGTAACTTCTGGGTGGCGTGCCCTCGCTCCCCGATTGGTGCCCTCTCTCAGGATGCGTGTAAGCTCACCTGTGCAGCTTTTTCTGGGACCGGCCAAGGAACACAGCCAAGATGACCACAAGGACCAGCAGTACTGCCAGCACGGTGCCCACGAGTCCGTACACGAGTCTCTTGCTGGTTCTAGACTCACAAGCCTCTCCCCAGTACCAGTGGGTGTCTGTGTTCGGGCACCTGCAGATACACACACAGGCTCAGGCGAGGTCCCTTAAATCAGGTCTCCTGAAGGGAGATTATTCAAAGCCCAGGAAACTGCCCTAAAGGAAAGTGGGGGCTGGGGAGCCAGGGTACTGAGTCTTAAGTGTGGGAGAGGGACTCAGGGTACTGAATGTCTTGTCCTAGCAAGACGCTTGCTTGCACATCTAATCTCAAAGCAGTTGGCATCTGAATGGGCTTCTTATCGTGTTTAACACTTTGTACTTTCATTTTTGATCGGGAAACTAGCATGTCCAGGTCTCAGTTAGAGGTGTTTATGGCTAAAATGTCATAAGAGAAATTAGATGAAGCTAGGCTTGACAGGTCGGGTCTGGAATCCCAGTACTCAGGGAGGTTGTGGGAGGAGGATTGGTTCAAGATGGAGGCTGGTCTGGGCTACACAGTGAATTCCAGTCCAACCTGGGCTATAGAGACCCAATATGAAAATAAAATGAAGGAAAGGGACGGGAGAGGGAAGAAAGAAGGAAGGAAATAAAGAAGGGAAGGGGAGGAAAGGGAGGAGGAAGGAAGGAGTGGGAAGATGGGAATAGAGGAAGAGGCTGGTGACAGGGCCAATAGCTTGAACCTTCTCAGAAAAACCCTGGCTGGACTGGAGAATGCCCAAATCTAGAACACGTGGCCACCCATCACTCTCATGGCGGCAGAGGGTGGAGGGAGATCCCATAGAGTTAAGAGAAACGTAGAAGACCGCGGGGGCGCCTTCCAAACATCCCCATTGCTAGATAGAGTTGCCTTGCTATTTGCCCCTGTCACCCGCCCACCTAGCTACTCCGGCACAAGAGAAACTGGGGTTGGGTGAGGCTCAGGGCTTGGTGCAGCAGGTTGGTGATGACACCCTCCCGTCAGGAGAAGGCCGGAGTGATGGGCACTCACACACAGCGGGGCCCCGAGCGGAGCAGCTGGCACTGGCCCAGGTTGCAGTTGAGTTGTGACTTTGTCCCCGGAGTGCACTTATTCACGCAGGTCAGTCTTCCCTCGAGAACCTCTGGGTAGAAGTACTGGCCAAAGTCCTTGGCAGCCTCCCGCATGCATCGCTCTATAGGACGAGGAATGGCAGCTCCAGTCGGCACCGCTAGAACTCTCCCTTGACCCATTTACCGTCCACACTCCACCGGCTCCTGCCCACAGCTCCACACTCACCCACGGGGTTGAAGCTGAACTTCAGAGTCTCCGTGTGCACAGTGGTGAAGTTAGAATTGTAGCACAGTTTGGCATCTGTCCGCGATAAAGGGGAGAGAAAAACAAAATGAAAACCATACGGGCTTCCTTCGGTCTCCCCTTCTCCCACCCAGGCTCCTCCCCTTTCCCTACTCAGGCTCCTCCCCTCTCCCACCAAGACCCCTCCCCTTCTGCCACCTAGGCTCCTCCTCTTTCTCCCACCCAGGCCCCTCCCCTTTCTCCTACTCAGGCTCCTCCCCTCTCCCACCAAGACCCCTCCCCTTCTGCCACTAGGCTCCTCCCCTTTCTCCCACCAGGGCTCCTCCATTTTCTCCTTCCTCTTCCTCTCCTCTTCCTCCTCTCCCTCCTCCACTTGACTCCCACTTTCCATCCCAGCTCTTTCCCCCTCTTCTCCCTCCTCCTCGTCCTTATTTTGTTCTCTCTCCCCCAACGGCTCTCCTTCTGCTTGCTCCCCATCTTCTTCTTTTCCGCCTCCTGCTTCCGCTTCCTGCATCTGCTTCCTCCTCTTCCCTCCTCCCCACCTCCCTCCTCCCCTTCCCCTTCTGCTTTCTTCTGTATCACCCGTCCACACTGAGCCATTGTTGGAGCTCCAGGTACACAGTCAAACCTGTGAGCAGACTCCCAGGGGACATGGGGGTGACAACTTCAGTCTGGGACGAACAGAGTGGCAGGGAGCAGGATGGAGTCAAGGGAGGCACGGGAGGGTGGTTTTGCTTTGTTCTGGATTTTCTAAAGATTTATTTATTTATTTATTTATTTATTTATTTATTATTTTTGTTTGTTGCTTTCTGAGACAGGGTTTCTCTGTTTAACAGTCTTTGCAGTCCTGGAACTCAGTTTGTAGACCAGGCTGACCTTGTACTCACAGAGATCCACCTGCCTTTGTCTTCTGAGTGTTGGGATTAAAGGTGTGTGCCACCACTGCCTGGCAAAAGGTTGTATTGCCAATTATCTTGTTTATTGTTTTGTTTTGTTGGGGGTTTTGTTTGTTTTGTTTCTAGAGCTAAGGACTGAACCCAGGGCCTTGCACTTGCTAGGCAAGCACTCTTAATTTCCAACCCCTTGAGATTTATTTTATTTTTATTTAACCCTCCATGTGTGCACGCACGTGTATGTTTGTGTGTGCACATGCATAAGTGCACATGCATGTGTTCACATGTGTGTGGAGGTGGCTGTGGAGACCAGAAAAGGGCACTGGATCTTCTGGAGCTGGAATTGGAGGCAGCTGTGAACTGTGGTTGCTAGAAACTGAACTCAGGTCCTCTGTAAGAGCAGCAAGTGCTCTCAGCTGCCAAGCCATCCCTCCAGAACCCCTGCCTTTTGTTGAAAGGGGGCTATAAGCCTGGAGTTCACTGTGGAGCCAGACTATCTCTGAACTCATGACAATCCTCCTGCCTTAGCTTCCTTAGTGCAGAAACTGTGGGTGTGAGCTACCACACATGACACATTCCCTATGGTGGGGACTCTGCTGTTCCAAATGAGGAGGGGGGGGAGGGAGAGAAGGAGGTAGAGAGCAGGTGTTGTGGAATATTAGTTTAAGATATGTTACATTCATTTATGCTGTGGAACGTTTGTTTACTGATGCAAAGATGTGCTATATTCTTTTATGTTGCATTTGTTTAACTCTGTGAAGCTGTGTTACTTTGCCTGTCTAGAACACCCGATTGGTCTAATAAAGCACTGAATGGCCAATAGCAAGGCAGGAGAAAGGATAGGCGGGGCTGGCAGGCAGAGAGAATAAATAGGAGGAGAAATCTAAGCTTGACAGAATGGAGGAGAGAGAAAAGGAGGAGAGGAGGACACCAGGGGCCAGCCACCCAACCACCCAGCAATCCAGCCACTCAGCCACCCAACCACCCAGCAACCCAGCCACCCAGCCACCCAACCACCCAGCAACCCAGCCACCCAGCCACCCAACCACCCAACCACCCAACCACCCAACAACCCAGCCACCCAGCCACCCAACCACCCAACAACCCAGCCACCCAGCCAGCCATGGAGTAAGAAGGATATATATAAAGAAAGAGGTATATAACAAAAGGTATACAGAAATAAAGAAAGAAATACAGAATAAAGAAAATCCAGAGGCAAAATGTAGTTCAAGAAAATGGGATAACTTAAGTTAGACAAGCTGGCTAGAAACAAGTCAAGACCAGGCATTCATAAGTAAGACTAAGTCGCCGTGTATTTATTTGGGAGCTGAGTGGTGGGCCCCCAAAGAGTAAAAAGCCAAAAACCAACCAACTGCACCCAGGCTTCCTTCCCAGCAACGCCAAGGCGCCTCAGAAGGACTTACTTCGACACAAGGACCTGTCAGTCTCGTTGGCTCTGGTCGCGTTCATAATCTTGGCTCTCACGACCCTGGTGAGGTTGCTGAACAGTGTCTGGTACTCGGGGGTGTAGTTCGCCTCCAGAACCACCTCACTTTTCACCACAATGCTGCCGTTGCTGCAAGCGGGAGAGACGCCAACATTTCCTCCACGTCACCCACACCCAGCAAGGAGGACGAAAGCAGCAAGAGAGGAGATGGGGAGGCAAGGGGTGTGGTGATGCACCCCTGGCGTCCCAGCGTTTGGAAGGCTGAGGCAGGAGAATCACATGTTCAAAGCCAACCTGGGCCACATAGTGAGTGAGACCTTTGTTTCAAAAATCCAAAAGAAAAAAAGGGTGGAGGGAGGAGGGGAGGAAGAAAAGAAGGGAGGAATGGAGGAGGGAAAGGGAAAAAAAGGAAGGAAAGAAAAAAATGAGCCCCTCCCCACTCTTCGACAGTTAACAAATTCCAAGGAGCCAGTTGAGTAAGACAGTTCAAGATTGGTAAATCTCAGTGTTTGTCACAATAGCTAAAGGATGAAATTTATCTTTAAAAACAGAGGCTTGGGCTGGGTGGCAGTGGTGCACGCCTTTAATCCCAGAGACAGGTGGATCTCTGTGAGTTCAAGGCTAGTCTGGTCTACAAGAGCTAGTTCCAGGACAGCTAAGGCTGTTCCACAGAGAAATCCTGTCTCAAAAAAAAAAAAAAATTAGAGGCTTGGGTCTTCATGGTGGCTCTGTGGGTAAAGACACTTGCAGCCAAGCCTCATGGACAGAGTTCGGTTCCAGGACCCACATGGTAGAAGGAGAGCTGCAACTCCTCCAGATACCCTGTGACCTCCATCCCTCCACGTGTATACAGTGGTACAAGCACACATTTGCTGCACACACAACATACACAATAACGTCATAGAACGCGAAACGGCAGAACATCAAGACCGTAAAAACAGTTGAACACGGTGATTACAGCTTCAGTGCTTTTAGAAGCAGGGGGAGGAGGAGGGGGGAGGGCGATGGCAGAGGAGAGGGAGAGAGGAGGAGGAAGAAAGAATGAGTTCTGTTAACAAGTGGGACCCTGGCCTTGAAGCCCCTCACTAAGTGGCCAGTGGTGCTGCTGAGGGGGACGGTTTCAAGACAGAGGCCATCATCTGTCACGGTCATCGCCAGGAGCCTGCGGCCTTCTTACTCCTCTCCGTATCCCTCATCCAGCGCAGGCACCGCAGGCCTCAGCAGCTCTGGAGTCTGTTCCTACACTCCCTCCTTTCTCTCCCCAAATCCCCGCGGTCTGACGGGGCACTCATCTCTCAAGACCATCCCCGCAGGACCCCCTTCTCCCACCAGTTACCTCCCTAGTCATTGACACCGTGACACCATCGCCTCCAGTGTAGACCTCTGCCCACCTTTCTCTACCTTGCACCCAGTCAGCTTGCAGGCCAGCTGCTGGTAGGAACAGTCTCCTGGATTGGCGTGAGTCATTTCTCCAACCTCCGCGGCCACTACTGACTGTGCTTCCAAGTTTGTAGATTTGCCCCCCCCTGCCAGCACTCTGGGCTCCCCTCCAGTGCTTCCCCTACCTTAACTCTTCCCCTGGCCTTTCCCTACTTTATTATGACCCCCCCCTTTAAACCTTAGCTGTCGCGTTCTCTCCCGCTGGCCACACTTGCCTCTCGGCCCTTTCTCCTGACACACTACAGTTCCTGATCGCAGCTCTCAGCAGTGTGCACTGTCTTGGGGCCCCCTGTGCTCTCCATTCTGTACTCCAGGAATAGTGAGCTAAGCATCTAACACTGTTTGTTTTGATTTTCTTGTTTGGTTGAAGCGGGGTTTCTTTACATAGCCCAGGTGGGCCTGGAACTCCTTGTGTCGTCCAGGTTGGCCTTCAACGTCTATCCTTTGTGTCTTAAGCTCCCAAGCACAAGTGTTACCAGTGTGTGGCACTCAGCTAGGGGTTGGCATTTTTAATCGAAGTTGGCGATTATAAAATTGCGATTATAAAAATGAATGGATTAGACGAATAAACAAACTCGTGGCGAATGAATAAACACGAACGATGAAAAATGCATCGGCACAAACAGCGAACAGACATGAAAATCAACGAAAGAACAGATCGTGGATGAGTGCACGCGGAGTGCGTAAGTGAGCAGCAAGGACAGAGCTCACACGAGCAAGGAGCTGAGTAACCACAGTGAACAAACGAATGGGGGAATGAATGAGTAACCGTGCTGACAAGGAAAAGAATCAGTGATGCATTTATGAGCGCATGGCAAGTTTTTGAATGGATTAATGAATAAATGAGCAGATTATGAATGGATAACCACGATGAACAGTTGACAGAGTGAGTCAGGACTCTGGGGTGTTCCTTCAGGGCTGGAGTTCCCCAGTCCCAGACAGATGTCATAGCCTAATCTTGGGGTAGGAGAAAGGAGCAGGAAGAGAAAGAGGGGCCACCCTCCTCACTCACAGCAGTTCTTTGATGATCACTTCTTTGTACTCGGGAAGGTCATGGCCCTCGTAAATTTTATCCATCTGGGAAAAAAATCGGAGATCGTACAGAGATGGAGTATGTCCCATCCTCAGACAGCTCCAGGATGGTGTGGGTGGAGCCCAGGGGAAAGGGAAGGTGCAGAGGCTGCCTCGATGGGACCTGAGTGGGGTGGGGCTCGGAGAGGACCCAACCTAAGGATTCCGGGAGACAAAGGGCTTACAGATGAGAAAATGTGATGGGTGACCTCCCTTTACCGAGTGTCACTGCTCCTACCTGGCTCAGGAAGAGGTTGATGAAGTCCTTGTAGGCCTGGGAGGATGTGTTCCTCAGGTCATCTGAGAAGTTCCGTTCAGTCACCTTTACTGTCATGCTCACGGTAGCGTTGACAACATTTGGGATATCTGTAGGACCAGGTAACATGGTGCATGAGAGAGCGACCCTCAGGGCCTGTGGGAATGTCTCTGAGGTAGGTAAAGTTTCCTGCCTGTTGGTATCACAGAGGAGATAAGGAGAGGAAAAGAGGACAGAAACTCAAGAGTTAGCTGAGGGTGGTAATTTCTGTCTCTACCGGTATGCATGCATGTTCACACAGGTGCATGCTTGTGTGTGCACACACATGCATGAAGTTCAGACATGCATGTTGTATATCTTCCTCTATCTCTCTCCACCTTAGGGTTTGAGACAGGGTCTCTCACTGGGTATGGAGTTCACCAGTCTGTCTGGTAAGTGGGCCCCAGGGATGTGTGCGTCTCCTCGGGGCAGAGATTGCAGATGCTCAGCACTATGCCGAGTTTGACATGGGTCCTGAGAACCCAAACTCAGCTCTCCAAACTTGCACCATGAATACCTGACTGGTGGAAACTATCTCCCCAGACCCTGACTCTTGAGATCACAGAGAGATGACTGCCAAAAGGAGACCCAGGGAGTTAGGTGGGAGGCTTCACAAAGGGTCTGGGTGGAAACCTCCTGATCAGAGTGGGGAGGAGAGCCAGAGAGGGTGGCCCTGAAGTTAGAGGCAGGAGGACAAGGACAAGAGTAACTTTACCTCCTCTCCCTGCAGTGAAGCCATGGGAATGGTTGGTCATTCCAACATGGCCCCCCACTTTAAGTGTCAAGGCGCACAGGGAGGGCTGCCGGTCTCAGAGGGGCCATTACCTATTGGGAAGGAATACAGGATGGAATCGCAGAGCTGGCCAGTGTAGCCCGTCTTGCATTCACACTGGCTTCCGTTCCATCTCCCGTGGTTGCAGTCCTCTAAGAAATGACAGAATTTCAAAAGATCATTGAGTAAGCTCCAGGGATAAAAACACTTGCTCCCATCCAGGGGTCATCAAAGCCCTGACCTTGACAAGGGGGCTGAAGCTAGACCATGGTACAACATTTAAGAACCCCTTGTTCCCATCTTACTTCTAGAAGCTAGGGAGAAAGGAGGAGACAGAAATGGGTTTAAGGATACAAGAAACACAAGAGAAGGAAGGAAGAGGAAAGGAACCCATGAACAAAAAGAACCAAAAACAGCACGCTGGGCATGAATGACTCACACTTGTAATCACAGTGCTTGGGAGGAAGAGGCAGATGGACCCCAAGACTGAACCTAGCCTGAGACGCATAGTGAGATGCCATTCCGGTACTCCCAACCCCATGCCAAAGACCACACATATCAATGTGAGAAATAGTCATTGGTAGCTGTCAAGGTCAGGAAGCATGCAACATGGTCCCACATAGGGAAAGATGGTTAAGAGCCAAGGCCTAAGGGAGAAACGCAGAGCCAATTGTATGAAACTTACGTGATGGCAAAGAGACGGCCTGAGTCCTCATGGAAGTAGGGTATATGCTGGGAAAAGGGGGGCGAGCAGAAGAGCTGCTGGAAGGGGAGTGCAGGGAGGTAGAGGATGGAGGAGAAGAGCTAGGGGGGCTGGGCTGGGCTGAAGAGTCAAGCACCGGCAAGGAGGAGGAGTGAGGAAATGAAGGTGGCAAAGAAGTAGCATCGTGAACCGTGGTTTCAGGGCTCCCTGGTGACGTTGGGGAACGGACTGAACTTGGGCTGCTGGAGAAAATGGGTAAAGATGAGACTGAGGCTGGTGACGTGTCAGGTGATGCTGGTGGTAGTGGTGACCTTGAACTGTGGGGAGGGGATGAGAGTCCTGGTGTGAAAGCAGTTGAGGACGGGTCTGATGATGGTGTCCTGGGGGATGCTGACTCATCAGGAATGGTGGTGGATGGAGAGCTCATAGAAGGAGGGCTCCTGTATGTGGAAATCCCACTGCCCGGGAAGGGGGTGGATGTCTGAGTGAAGGCTGTTCTGGAGGCTTCAGTTGCTTGAGTTAGCTCAGTGGAAAATCGGCCATTTAGGGAGGCCGTAGACACATGTGTTTCGACTGTGGAATGGGAGGTTTCAGAAGGTTCAGTTGGTTCTGTTGAAATTGGGCTGCTTGGTAAGGTGGAAGACTCCTGAGGTAAGAACATTGTTTGGGAGATCTCAGTGGTCCGAGTTCCTTCTGTTGAAATAGGGGGGCTCAAAGAGACTGTAGATGCTTCAGTCAGGGATGAAGTGAAGGGTGTCTCTGGAGGGATGGCAGCTTCTGAGAAAATTGGGATGCTTGGAGAGGCTGGAGATTCCTGAGTGAAGACGGATGTTTGCAAGGTATCAGGTGGTTGAGCTGAATCTCTGGAAAAGGGGCTTCTTGTGGAGATTGTAGAAGGCTCAGTCGTGTCTGAGAAGTGGGTAGTCTCAGGAGGTACAGTTGTTTCTGTGGAAACTGAGCTGCTCAGGAAGACTGTATATTCCTCAGTGAAGAATGATGTGAGGGCAGTCTCAGATGGTTGAGTTCCAGGTTCCAAACTTGGGTTCCTTGGGGAGGTTGTAGATGCCTCAGTCAGGGCTGTGAGAGGTGAGGTGTCAGGAGGGACAGCTGTTTCTGGGGAAATTGAGCTGTTTGTGGAAGTGGTAGACTTCAGGGTTACAGGTGGGTTGCTGGTTTCATTTGGCTGAGTAACTTGGGCTGAAAGAAAGCTGCTGGACGATGACGTGAACACATCAGTGAGGGTTGACGTGTGTGAGATCTCAGAAGGGACAACTCTTACTGGGGAAACTGGGGTAGTTGCAGAGGTCATAGATATATGAGTGAAGTCTATGCGTGATGTCTGGGTTCCTTGAGTATCTTGTGTGGAAAAGAAGGGGGCTGGTGAAATGGGAGATGTCTCAGAGAGGGAAAGAGTGTGGGTGACCTCGGGAGGGACAGCAGTGTCTGAGGAAATCGAGCTGATTGGGAAAGAAGTAGATTGCTGAGTGGAGACTACTTTGGAAGTCGGATTGACTTGAGTTGTTAGGGTAGAAAATAAGGTGCGTGGAGATGGGCTAGAAGACACAGTCAGGACAGGAGAAACTGAAGTGTTATGAGGTACAATGCTTTCTGTTAATAAGGAGTTGCTTGGAAGAGACGTTGATTTTTGCATGAATCCCGTTTTCCATGTTTGACTGGACTGAGAGACATAGGTTGATCCTGGGGTCCGAGGGTGTGTGGTAGAGGCCTCCCTTAATCTTGAAGTATACGGGGTCTCAGGAGGGACCAGCGTCCCCGTGGAAATTGAGCTGGTTGGGGAGGTTGTTGATTGCTGGGTGAACACGGTTCCCCGTGACTCAGCTGGTTGAGTGGCAAGTGTTGAAACCGGGGTCCCGGGGTAGGCTGTAGATGGCTCCTTCACAGCTGCGGTGGAGGAGGTCCCAGGGGGTCCGGCTGTTCCTGTGGCCACTGGGCTGCTTAGGGATGTGGAAGGTTCCCGAGTGTGAAGTGTGGTTGCAGAGCTCTCTGGTGCTGGAGCTGTCTGTGTCGATATGGCGCTGCTCAGGGATGTGGTAGAGGCCTCAGTCGGCGCTGCTGTGTGGGTGACGTCGGGAGGTGCAGCAGTTTCTGGGGACGCGGAGCTGCCCGACAAGGTTGTGGACTTCTGGGTGAGCCCTGTTGCGGAGGTTTCGCTTGGCTGGGTGGCATGTGTTGTCCTCGGGGTCCTGGAGGATACCGTGGACGCCTCACTCACAGCTGAGGTGTAGGAGACCTCGGAAGC